AATAAACTACTTTCATTACGTGCTACATCATACCTTGTATATTTATTTATCCTCTTTTTCATAAAATATGTATTACTTATTACCAAATTTCTTTCTACACATAGCTCAATTAAAGGCTCCCCATTTACATTTACCCCTGGCACCCCAAATTTACCTACTACTCCCTCCATAACATTTTTACCCACTTTAGCATTGAAATCCCCAACCACCATTACTCTCACACTTGATTCAAAACTCCCACGCATTCACTCAACATTTCCAAAATCTCTCTCTCTCCTCTACACTTCTCTCTTCTCCAGGTGCATACACGCTTATTATAACCCACTTTTCACATCCAATCTTTATTTTACCCCACATAATCCTTGAATTAATACATTTATAGTCCCTCTTTTCCTGCCATAGCTTATCCTTCAACATTATTGCTACTCCTTCTTTAGCTCTAACTCTATTGAAACCCCTGACCTAATCCCATTTATTCCTCTCCATTGAAACTCTCCCACCCCCTTCAGCTTTGTTTCACTTAAAGCCAGGACATCCAGCTTCTTCTCATTCATAACATCCACAATCATCTTTCTTATCATCTGCAAAAACATCCACGCACATTCAGACTTCCCACTTTGACAATTTTCTTCTTCTTATTCTTTTTAGTAATCTTTACAGGAAAAGGGGTTACTAGCCATTGTTCCCGGCATTTTAGTTGACTTTTACAACACGCATGGCTTACGGAGGAAAGATTCTTATTCCACTTCCCCATGGATATAAAAGGAAAATTAATAAGACCAAGAACTATTAAGATAAAATCAAAGAAAACTCAGATGAGTGTGTATGAATAAATGTGTATATGTATGTGTAGTGTGACCTAAGTGTAAGTAGAAGTAGCAAGACATGCCTGTAATCTTGCATATTTATGAGACAGACAAAAGACATCAGCAATCCTACCATCATGTAAAACAATTACAGGCTTTCGTTTTACACTCACTTGGCAGGACGGTAGTACCTCCCTGGGTGGTTGCTGTCTACCAACCTACTAATTCAAGATTGCAAATATAATTCCTATATTCAAGAAGCTCTGAATTTCAAATTAGTATTCCTAACTATTGTAATATATAAATAGGTATGACAAGGCTCTCATAAGTTGGTCAAAAATTAAGAGGTGAAACCAAGAGATAGGTACATTAGTTATAAATTAAACACACCAACATTTATTACAGTACAGTATATCAGTCACTAACTTCTTCACTAATCAACCATTACTAGATATAAATAAATAGACTAAGCATTCATAAGGTGGGAATGAGTTGAAATGACACTTGACTAACAAAAGTTCTCTAGCTTTAGAGATGATCATTGCTGAGAAATACTAACTCCTCCCAGAGGGTCATTGTAACTAGTAACATTGCCCGAGTTCAATAAATTATGAAAAGTAAAAAGAGGGCAGTGACACATGAATTACAAGCTTGACGCTTTAGGAAAATCAAAACTGAACTGGGACATATGCTAATTCAGTACTCTGTACCAAATTTATATATTTGCAGCAAATTAGAGCAAAGAAAAAACTTCTAATAAGCATTATTACAAAAACTACATCCAATCCCTTGCATAAATGAATGAGCAGTCAACTGTGGGACCAAGTGGCATACCATTAGCTCTCAAGGCAGGTAACAAGATACTACTGCTCTTCCCAAATCTTTGTTCCTCACTCCACTTCGGTTGTTCCAGTCTCTCTGCCTCTCCTAATTCGTATAAAATTTCAGGAATAAAAAAAAATCTCATTTTATTTCTCTCTCTCCTGTGTCTCACATTTAGAATAAGAGGAAACCAGTGAAGCCCAGACTGAAATCTGTGTATTAAGTGACATTTTGTCTATATTAATATTAATACAAAGTGCTGTGCAGTTCAGCAATCACTAAATAGGAGTCACTATGCAAGCACAGTGGTGTAACCTGTACAACGCTCATCATTTAATGCAAGTAGGAAAAAAATTACTTTTGCATGAACCATTACTAATTGTTAAAGCACTTTATGGTTACTGTATGAAATCTTGTAACTAAGAACTGTTATGTATATAGAGCATGTAAAGTCCATCCCCTTTTATCCTGATGTGGTATATTCAGCATGTGGAATTCTTCAGTAAAGTGCATGCAGTATGTGTACAAACCACTTGAATGTGATATGCTTTTGTCATGAAAGATGTTGCCATATGGATTTGATGCAAGCAGAAAATATATATGAATAGGCTAAGAAGATTTATGTTTATTTATTCCACCTATTAACCCTTTCAGGGTTTCGGCCGTACTAGTACGGCTTACGCACCAGGGTTTTTGACGTATTAGTAAGCCTAAATTCTAGCGCCCTCAAATATAGTGAGAGAAAGCTGGTAGGCTTACATATGAAAGAATGGGTCTATGTGGTCAGTGTGCGCGGTATAAAAAAATCCTGCAACACACAGTGCGTAATGAGAAAAAAAAAAAAGACTGTGTTTTTGGATTAAAACAGTGACTTTGCACTGTATTTTTGTATGGTATTTATTGTTGTATTCTAGTTTTCTTGGTCTCATTTTATAGAATGGAAGACATATTACAGAACTTGAGATGATTTTGACTGGTTTTACAAAGAAAACTACCTTGAAATTGCACTCAAAGTAGCAGAAATGTTCGATTTTTACCAAAGTTCAAAAGTAAACAAATCATGCTATGCATCCAATACACATCAACTGGCGAGTCTAATATTCTTTCACAAGTGCGCTGATAATATTTATACCATTTCTACACCAATGCAGTAGTCTGCATAACAGTAAATCTTCTATTTTTTTGTGAGCATAAAAATTCAAAATGGAAAGCAAAAGAATGTAAGAGGGGCATGGGGAAGTGACTAATGAACAGAGGAAATGTTATTTTAGCGCCAGGAATGTCTTTCTTGTTTATTCTGGACCCTATTCAGAAATTGGCATCTTTTGAAATTTGTGTGAAATTGGCAAAATTGCTGAATTCTGACCACTGTATTGGATAGTTGAAATTGGTAAATGGGTGGTTTCTTGTATTGATTCAATAGAAAAAATGGAGTTCTAGCAAAATAGTTATGAGTTTTGTCGACAAGTACACTGGAATTGGCCGAAAATAGGCCGCTAACTTCGCGAGAGCATAAGTCCGTAAGTTTTCCATCAAATTTCATACTTTTGGTGTCATTATGATTGGGAAAAAATTCTCTATCTTTTCATAAGAAAAAATAATTTTTTTTTTTCTTAAATTTGGCCGACCCTGAGAACAAGTCTCCGAGAGGGCCTGTCGACCCTGAAAGGGTTAACTCGGTGGGAGTAGTCAGATGCATATTATCCCATAAATTGTGACATTCATTTTTGACCCATTAGAGGTATGGCAGCACTTATTGAGACAGTATTTTGGGATAATCCTGTCTGTTGTACATTGTTTTTAAATATGGGGACACTCACTTATTTTACATTGTTTCCCAGTAAATCACAATTTATATGGCATCTTGTATCAAGAAAAAATTATTCTATTCATGAAGAAAAGACAGTATAGTAAACTCTCTGTATAACAGATCTATATAATGTACTTTGGAAATTCAGAACAAAATCTGGTGGAAAAGTCTATTTTGAAACTGTGGACTAAGTCTGTTGGTTGCAGAATTGTACATTATTGTTAGTCATGGTAAAACAGTCTCTAATGTATTCACAGCTGTCATTACTGGTCATCTGCTCCCTTCCCTTTTAGTTTGTTATATGGAAGGATTACTGTATTAATGCTGTATAAGTACATAACAAAAAATGGACATAAATAATTTGGGCAATACTGTACTTTATTTATTATTGAAGCAGCATTTGTAAAGTAGTTTTGAGAGTTGCTTGAATTAACATTAGTATGCTTAACTACAATATATTGTCAGTACATTAGTAAAGAAAATGTTTTCTGATGCTTGTTTTATAGATAAATATGAAAGGAGCCTTCACCTTTCAAGTGTATTTATCTCAAGACGTGTACTTGAGTAGAATTGCTTTTATTTTTTTTTTTTTTTTAAAGGAAGTAGCAGGAAGGGTGTTATTGACAAAGCTAATCATAGCAGGAAAAATACAAACCTCCCATAGATGTAGGACTGAACTAACTGGTATGGTTTTTCCATTAACCTGCATTGAGAATAATAATAATGTAGTTACTGTGGCTAAAATGAATTACCATATACTGTACATCCACAAATTACAAAACCTTGAACAGTGTTAAGGCCAAACTTTGACTATTATAAAGTCATGACAAATTTTTTAGGGCCGGCTGAAACCTATTCTAATTATTTTATATTATTTGTAGGCTTGTTGTAACTTACATTGAGTTTTCATGTTAGCAAATTTTGTAATGTGAAACAGTTTGCTTGATAATTTTTTGCTATACTTCCATTGTTTAGTAGAAACAGTTTGCAGAGCAAATCTTTAATGTGACAGTGTTTTCATATGCTAAGTCTTATCAAGTCAAACCAGAGGACATAGTATGTTATACATATGTAGGGAGATGAGGGTACAGGAATAGTTGTAATTATCATGGATCATTACAAAAATAGATGTAAGGATCATGGGTAGCATGTTGCACTGGTGTGTGTGGGAGGTTGGGTCGCCTGGTTTTGCTTTTAAGTGTGCCCAAATAAGGTGAGTTGAGTGATGGGTTAGTGTGATAAAATGCACATTATAGTTGCCATAATACAATGTCTTCTTGTTTCATCATTTTCTTTTACAATTTTGGCTCTGTCCCAGTTCACGAGATATATAATTCATTATTGAAACTGAGAGTTTTAACTGATATACTTTGTCTTCTGGTATAATTTAATACACGCTCAGCACTGAGAATATATTTGCTCTCCAGACACACTTTGCCATACTTGTAGGTATCATTTGTCGGTTTAATGCTACTTTTTTATGCTTAAAAACTAACAAAGTTACATTTCCAGTTGTATACATAGGATGAACACTGGTGACACTCTTAATGCCTCTTCCACAGTAAATCAGTGAAGTGATGGGTGAGAGAACAGACGAAGCATGGTTGTCACCCTTGGCTCACCCAAGCCCACAAACACCTGTGTGTTGCTTAACAAAGTCTTTCCATTTCCCCTTAATGGCTACTCTAGCCTGAATATTCTGCTTGCCACAAATTTCAGCTGAATACACTGCACCATCGTAGATGTTTTTAACTAGCTTGATACACTGCCCCTCTCATCATATGCCAATCAAATATCCCTCCAGACCACTCCTTTTTTTTTGTTTATACTTTTGGATGCTGCTGTCTGCAGAGTTTGTTTTTACTTGTTACTCAGTTACATCCCTTTATATAGCATATATACTTTCCTGGGAAACATCTTAACCACACCTTAGTTTTACCAAAATTACATACAGTCCATGCATCACATATTCTTCCCAAGTAACAAGCAAACCCTGTTTACTCTTAAAATTGTATTTCCCCTATTATAGTATAGCATAGCTTCTTGCACTTAACAGTAAAATTTCAAGAGGCTTTAAAATAAGTGATGTTTTTCTGTTGTACATTTTTGATCAAACATTTTGTGTATCCCAACACTTATTACACTATTTACTCATTGTTCATGCACAGTACAGGTCAGCCATCACTAATCTGGCAATCAGTTATCCGGTTCCATCAGTAATCTGGCACTAATTTCGGCTACCATAATTTCAAATTTTATCATTATACCGACTCAAATTTCATCATTATACTGACTCAGAAATTGTGCAGATGGTTGTAAATCCACAGCAGCAAGCCAGTGGAGGAGAAAGCAGTGATGAAAATGAGGAAGATGTAGCAGAAAGAGTATTGATAGGTTAATTAAGTGTATTCTAACCTAACCACTTTGTAATCCAGCAAACTCGCTAATCCAGCACACTACAGGTCCCAATGATGCCAGATTAGTGATGGCCAACCTGTATATGATGAAGGCATTCTTGTGACAGTTTAATGTGAAGAGGATGCAGAGTATTTGGAATTGCATGTTCTGAAAGGCATAAATATGTACTTGTTGAAATTGCATTTTAAAAAATGCTTGTATTATACGTAGTTCATTTAACTGGGACAACATACATGAGAACGACAGTGTGATAAGGATGATTATATAAATATGGCACAGAAAAGCCTTTAATACGATTTGTTCCTTTTTAACATGGCAATGATCTTGAACCCTTGTAAATTTTGGCTAATGAAAGCATGTACAGTAGTACAGTTTTAACAAAAATTAAAAAAAAAAAAGATATAATTTAGCCTTCTGCAGTCAACTTTGTTAATCTAATTATAATGTATATATTGTGCAAGTAAATATGACTAATTATGCCTTGTAGTCTCTTCATTTTGACAGCGTGCTGGCTAATTAAGGAAATAAAGGTTTGAGGGATCTAAGCCAATCAGTGTTATGATTCATAAATTAATGTTGATATTATCACTCAGATTCTGTAGCCCTTCTTTGTGATTGTATGTCTTATAGACAGTGTATCCCATTACATTTACAAATGTTACTTCTTTCTTTTCTTTCAACACACCAGCCGTATCCCACCGAGGCAGGGTGGCCCTAAAGGAAAAACGAAAGTTTCTCCTTTACATTCAGTAATATATACAGGAGAAGGTTACTAGCCCCTTGCTCCCGGTATTTTAGTCGCCTCTTACAACACGCATGGCTTACGGAGGAAGAATTCTGTTCCACTTTCCCATGGAGATAAGAGGAAATAAACAAGAATAAGAACTAGAAAGAAAATAGAAGAAAACCCAGAGGGGTGTGTATATATATGCTTGTACATGTATGTGTAGTGTGACCTAAGTGTAAGTAGAAGTAGCAAGACGTAACTGAAATCTTGCATGTTCATGAGACAGAAAAAAAAGGACACCGGCAATCCTACCATCATGTAAAACAATTACAGGCTTTCGTTTTACACTCACTTGGCAGGACGGTAGTACCTCCCTGGGCGGTTGCTGTCTACCAACCTACTACCTAGGACAAATGTTACTTATAGCCCATAATTCGATATTAACCTTTTGTCACATCAAAAAAAAAAAAATAATAAAAAAAAAAAAAAAAAAAGGCATACAAAAATAGCAAAGTAAAATTTGGCAAAACTAGATAAAATTGAAGTCTGTCTTATAACAAAAGCATGTGACATTTGAGATGACAAACTACATTTTAAACTCTCCTCTCCTTTCCTTTCTTTGCACTCTCTAACCCCTTCTCCCCTCTGTTCACTCCCAAGCCTACTCTTTCTTTCTAGCTCCAGTCTTGTTCTACTTTTCTCTAACCACTAGTCTAACTTTCGTTGAATCCCTCAGTCTAAATCTCATTCCCTATCATCCACCTCTTTTTCCTTTAACCCCAATCTCGCTCTTCTTCCATCTAGCCCCAGGTTTGCTTTTCTTCCATATAAGTAATTTTGCTCTCCTTCCATCTTTGGGTTTAGCAATTCAGTTGATTATTTAATTTCATTTTATTACTCCTATCTAACCTCTCACTCGCCTCCCTAACCTCCACTCGCTCATCTTCCCTCTGGCACCACTCCTCTTGCTGTAACCCCCCCCCTCCCCTTCCTTCCTTTACTCCTGTACACCCTCCCCTTCCCCTTCATACAGACTAGGATGGATAAGACATCTGCAACACTTAGGTATTGTAGTGACAAAGCATTTCACCTGAACATCAGGCAGCTATTTGGAAAGAGCTAGTGCATTTTACCGACAATTGTGACAAAACACAAGTACAGTGTAAAGATATTTTGTTGAGGAAACTTTTTGCAACAAGTGGCTTTTCCAGTCCTTCAGGACTGAAGAAGTCATAGCAAAATGTTTTCTTAAATGTCCTAATACTGCACATGTCATATCTTATTTCAAAGGTGACTTTTATAGTGGGTACAGTGGAAGAAGTGGAAAGGTAATCAAAGCCTTCTATTAAGACTAATTGATTGAACATCTCATAATTACCTCATCACTTCCACTGTCTCCAGTATAAGACTAACCTCTAACCTCTGTATTACATTGAAAAAAAGCCTGCTGTGCAGGTTGTACATATCTTATTTTCAGTATGTATACAGTTAATGTAATACTAACTAGGATTAGTTCCATAGTGATTGAAAAGTTCCTTGTCAATAACTTGCTCTTCCTTACCTTTCCTTACCTCCATCCCATATCTGTTTTGAATTTTTGACTTGAGTAGGCATACTGGCCTGACTTAAATAGCACCTTTTCCTGCACTGCCACCCATGCTTCTTACAATCACATTCTTGAAGCATGAGTGTAATACTGACTGCGTTTAACTGATTTTGGACATTTTCATCTCCTGATCTCATGATGATGGAGTTGCCTAGTGGCAGTATGAATCTCTGATGGTATTGGAGAGGTGACATTTTGGATGATACGAGGTGGTGCACGTGTTATGGAGGTTTCAGACATTTGGTCAGAGACTCGATCATTCATATAGTTTGAGACAATGTGAAAATATGAGCTTATGCAATGACTAGTGCAGTGTGTGACACATTGAAAAGAATGATGCTGAAATGTTACTCATTGTGTGCATTGGTAAGAGAAAAAAAGGAAAGGGATCCTTTTTAGTGTAGATAAAGCACAAAATGCTATTGTTACATACAGTACTTGTGCACACCAGTATGACCATCAACTACCGACAGCCCCTTTACAAGATTCTCAGCCATCTATCTCAGCCCAGTAGAGTCTATCAACCCGCTCCACACATTCATGTCAACAAGCAGTGTCAGCTAGAATGCAAGGCAAAATAAAATTTGATTTTTGAAATACAGCCTTTGAAATGTTTATTTTTTTCATACGTTCTTCAATTTACGTAATGCTATTTTTCTTGACACTCGAATTTTCAGGAACGTATCCTTCATGTTATGAGAGGGTTTACTATTATATACAGTACAACATTAATTAACCCTTTGACTGCAAACATCCCCAAATTGAAAGCCCTCCCTGTGTTGCCACTTTTTAAAAAAAAAATTAATTATATTTTCTAAAATGGTGCAGACTTGTTTCTAAAGGTATTGATTTAAAAAATGTAAAATTTCACATCTTTATGGAATTTCATAGGTACAGACTTGGAGGTCGGGGAGTGTTTCAGCAGTGATTTTTGCCTGATTTGAGGTCAATTCCAGCACTCAAAATGACCCAATTCCTGGCTATTTCACTAGTGTCTTGTGTACTGTCCACTGATAGCAAGAAATGCCCACTCGCCCATCAAAACTATTAGGCACCCAGAAGTTGGGTAATTTGGCCAGTTTACACTTTAATGAAAAATTCCAGTGAAAAATGGTCTCGAACCAAACATCCACTCACACCAACCCCCTCTCACCCTCTGAAAGTCAAGACACATGGCTAGGTATTGCATTAATTAATTTTACATCATGTCTTAAGGTGGGGAAAAATAGGTTTTGAGTATCGAATAGTCAACTTAAAATGTGTTTTCTGGAGCACTTTAACATCATAAGTTAGGGCCCTACTGTATAGTCACCAACTGTTCAACAACTAAAAATACAGCTTGTGGTTACACCATTGTTAAAGGCCCAGGAATGTGTAATTAGTGGATAAAGTATGATACTACACTTTTGTTTATTAATGTTAATGCACTGAATATTTTCTTCAAACTTTCCATTCAGGCGTATATTAAGCATTCACAAGTTAAATAAATTTGGAAGAATATTAGGTAAGAATAATGCAGTTTAGTGGGTATGCTGTGTTCAATAGTAGGAAGCTAGCTTGAAGTTCTGCGCATGGCCCAGTGGCTGGGAAGGGCACTGCTTATTGGCCTGGCAAGCAGAGTGAGAAAATCTGTGGAGAGAGCTAATTTATAGAGCACATCGTTTTCCATGGTATAACTTTTTGGGCAGAATTTTTCAAAAGCATCGAGGCAATCTTACACATGTGAAACTTGCCCGAATTGACACGCGTGTGGGGAGGGGATGGAGAACCAGCATTTCTGGCATAGCCCACTTTACAAGCAGTGTTTCAGTCGAGTTTCAAGATACAGCTATTCAAAAGAGCTTTATTAATTTTATTATATTTACTAAAAACCTTCCCTAATTATACCTCTTTCCTCCAACATTGGGTCACCTTAACTTGGTGGTATAGTTTGACTGCTTTGTTGTAGGGACAGGGGCCTTTTCTCTGGGAAGGGTGGCACTCTTCCCATAGTATTGCTCTTGGCAATATTTTTCCTTTTGTCTAGATATGCTGACAGGATGACAGTGAACAAATTATGGATATGGATTGTCAAATGAGAAAATTAGACTGAATAGTTTTATTGGCTTTGTAATCACGATTTGTGTACCGTAATTCGTGGCTTGTGAGACGCTCTGATGCATTAGACTTGTCCTAATTTTGAAGGTAATAATCAGAAAAAAACGTTGAGTGCCTAATACCAAGTGATATTTACTCCACTAAAACCTATGGTAATTTTACATGCAGAAATAAGGCTACGTTTGATTATGGGTAGGTCAAAACATACGATAGGCCTAGTGCTCACCTGAACACCCCGATGATCTCTCAGTTTGAACTAGTGAAACAGTCACTGGTGACTGAGTTACTGCTGTGTGCGCAACTCTGTATAACGAGGGTCCCAGAGTGCAAATTATTGTGTCTTTGTCAGTGACTATTGGTATAAACAAAAATGGCTGCTTCAGCTGTTGTTGGGCCACCATATTTGCTTGGCAATATTTGTCACTATAAGTACCATAACATATGGTAAATATGATTCTGGTAGCATTATTTTTTAAATATGATTACCAGTAGCATTATTTTAGTGCCTAGAAATAAGTGACGTGGTTTTGGGGCCCCTTGGGGTGTTTTAAAAAATAAAAAAGTAAGGTGTTACTTAAGGAGGAATTTTCGTTTTCTCTCAGTTTTCCAAATTACGTACCCATATTTCAAAAAATAGTTTGGTTTTAAAAAAATTTTTAAATTTACTGAAATTTTTAAAAAACCACTGGACTTTTTTTTTTATTTTCAATGGCTCGACATTGGACTTTAACTGGGAGTGCTACAGCCCCCCCCACACTCCAGACTTATAGCCTGTACTACCTTCAATTTATAGGTTTGCGGGGTGTTTTTGGAGCATTTTATGGAAAAAAAAAAAATGCTTCTAACAAGCCACAAAATCCCGGTAATTTTGTCACGAAATATCACGTTCTTTTAATTTGGGTTGGGGAAGGAAATATGTTTCAAGTGTTTAAAATTATAAACCAAAGGGTTTAAGTTAAAAAAATCCTAGATAGTGTTTAGGGAAGGTCATTTCCAAGGCCATTGAAATTTGGGTTTCTTTTTTGGGAAAGTACTGCAAAATGTAGAAAAGTTAAAAATAAGTATTTTATATTATTTAAGCTTTTAAAAAAAAATTCCCTTAATGACATCAGTTTGGGGATATGTGCAAAAAACCCCCAAAGGGAATAGAAAAGGGAAAAAAAAATTTTTTATTTGCCTGTTCTGTTTTTTTTAAAATTTTAAAACCTCTTAAAGGGGGGCCCCTTTGGGCGTGGTGAAGGGGCCCTCTTGGTTAGGGGAAATTTTGGCCCGGGTCGGTCTTTTTCCTCAAAACCAAAACCAAAATTTTCCCCCATTCTCCCCCCCCCTTCCCACCCTCCCCATCCCCCCTTTTTCCATTCTCCTCCTCCCCCTCCTCCCCCTTTCCCCTTTTTTCCCCTTCCTTTTTTTGGGCCCTTTTGGGGATTTTTTCCCACAGGCGTGCTAGTTCCTATTTGGGGAAAAAGGACACTGGGGTCCATCCCTTTCCCAAAATTTGAGGTTCTTGGCGGTGGGAGTTTCCCTTTTGGAATTGGTTTGGCTGGGGATGTCCCGCCCCTTTTCCGGTTTACCCCAAGAGTAGCTTTGGGTGTCTTTCGGGCGACGGGTGTATCTCTGGAACCCACCTTTGGGGTTTCCCGGGGGAGGGGGCCCAAAGGGGAGGTTGCTTTGTGGGGGATATCCGGCCGCCCCTCTCTTTTGTCCCCCGGGGTTTAGCCCCGGCAGATGTGAGGTTCCCAACCCCGGGGAAATTGCGGGGTTTACTGGCATAAAAGGGGGGGGGGGGTATGGTTTACAGGTTCCATGCTGCATTGCGCTATAGGGGTT